CTGAATTGGAGTTAGATCGAGTTGGAATCAGGCTGAGTGTGTTCTCACAACGTGACCACGGGTTGGTAACAACGTAAGAGTCAACTGTTGCTATTGTTGGTAGTTGAATTTGACTTTGACCATTGATTTTTTAGCATGGTTGACTTTTAGTTAAATTGTTGGATTTAGGGTATAAGCTAAGGTTGGACCTTGTATGTTTTGTTAGGTGTGTTGTAGCACCAGTTACATGGCATTAAAATGTGGTTTAGCTAATTTCATGAGTCAGGTGAGTCTTCTCACTATATTGTATAGGATGCTAGCTATCTTTGTGACTCATGCATTGATATGTTGGGTTGGGCCGATTAATATGTTGGGTTAGGCCTATTGATATGTTAGGTCGGGCCCATTGATATGTTGGGTTGGGCCCATTGTATTGTTGAGTTAGGCTCACCGATATGTTGAGCTGGGCCCATTGATGTGTTGGGTTGGGCCTATTGTATGGTATGTGGTATTTTGGGGAACTCACTAAGCTTTGTGTTAACAATTTGTGGTTTAAATATTTTTAGGTACTTCTATTTTCAAAAGGAAGAGCACGACTTGATCCCGCAACATCCCCTTGATTTTATTCTGCATTGTTATTTGGTTTTACTTTGATGTTGAGATTCTTTATACTATGATTGGCTTGTAACAGTTTTTTTTTTTTTTTTTTTTTTTTTTTTTTTTTTTTTTTGGTGTTTGAAAATTTGAAAATTTTACTACTATTTTTGCAACGTTACAGGTGAGGGTGGTGAAGATCATTTTGAACAACAACATAAAAATGAGGATCAATCTCAACAACAAGATGATGAGGATCATTTTGAACAACAATAACATGACGAGGTGTGAGAAGCCGGAAATAAGATTGAGGTGGTGTAGGAGGTGAAGCAAGTCAAGGAGTTGAAGCGAGTGAAGCATGTCAGGGAGGTCAAGTGTTCACAATGATCATAAATAAAAAAAAATACTTCTTTATTTCAAAAAAACTTAGAACAAAAAAAAGATCGGAGCTCACTATTGAGTTTAAACAATTCCGAAAACTTTGTGTCGGGTTTTATGGGTCCATGAAATCCTTTCAGGTGCGATTAAATCACATATGTATATCTTCACATTCACATCCTCACTTAGGTACTGTTTGTTTTTTGAAAAAAAAACATTTTCAAACCTCTTATTGCTGAGCGGCGCAGCACATGTGCAACACTTTTCATCTCGCAGTTATTTGTTTTTCAGAAGTCTTCGGATTAAAAAATATTTGTGCGTGTTCTTCTCGGCGCAACACTTGTTTTGTCTCTTCCTACCTCTTCCAACCTCTTCTTCTTCTTTTTTTCTTGCTAAAATATTGATTATATATTGCTGAAATCTTATTTCACTTTTTTTTTTTCGTTTTTTCTTTTTTGTTTATTCATGTTGAAATTTTTTTCCCTTTTTTTATATTGAATAATAATAATTTGTTGGTGAAATATCATTATTTTATGTTAAAATATTTTTATTTTTTGTTAAAATATCATTATTTTTTGCTGAATGTCATAAATTCTTGCCGAAATGTCATAAAGTGTTAAATTTTTAGTATTAAAAAACTATTTTCGGTTTATAAAATAAGTTTATTTTAATTTTTTAATATCTGCAGCAGCATGCAGATGTTAAAAAAACAAACATTCTTCTTATTACAATCTGCAGCCGTTTGGTCTATTTCTTCTATTGTAGAGGGTTGCAGAGGTTGTCCACAGATTTTATAGAATTTTGCTTAAAAAAACAAATAACGAGTTTTTGATCATAATAGGGTGGGTGGAAAAAATATCTACCATTTTAATGTTCTTTCAAAACTATTTACCATTTTAGTGATTTTCTCCTTTTTCTTTTATTTTTTAGTTTCCTTTTCAGTTTTTTTTTTTTTAATTTAAATATCTTATTTTTCTTTTTTCCTTTTTTATTCCTCCTTTTTATTGTTTTTCTCATTTTCTTTACTTTTTAGTTTCTTTTCAGCTTTTTTTTTTTAATTTAAATATCTTTTTTTTTCTTTTTTATTCCACATTTTTATTATATATATATATATATATATATATATATATATATATATATATATATATATATATATATGACAACTTTCATTTTAGTTTTTTTATCCTTTTTTTACTGTTTTTTTAAATATATGTTTTCTTTATTTGTTTTTTTTTGTATTATTTAAATATCTGATTTTCTTATACAACCTTTTTACTATCAAATTTTAGCCTCAACATTAAAAAATCATAAAAAACCACCACTATAATCAAATTTTAAGGTGCAAAAATTCCAACATTCACATACAATTTTTTTGAGTTTTCGACCATAATAGGGTGGATGGAAAAAATATTTACCATTTTAGTGTTCTTTTAAAACTATTTACCATTTTAGTGTTTTTCTTCTTTTTCTTTATTTTTTAGTTTCCTTTTCAGTTTTTTTTTTTTAAATTTAAATATCTTATTTTTCTGTTTTTCTTTTTTATTCCACTTTTTATTGTTTTTCTCATTTTTCTTTACTTTTAGTTTCTTTTCAGTTTTTTTTTTAAATTTAAATATCTTATTTATTTTTCTTTTTATTCCACCTTTATATATATATATATATATATATATATATATATATATATATATATATATATATTATATATATATATATATATAAATGACAACTTTCATTTTAGTTTTTTTTATCCTTTTTTACTGTTTTTAAATATATGTTTTTTTATTTAATTTTTTCTGTTTTATTTAAATATCCGATTTTCTTATACAACCTTTTTACCATCAAATTTTAGCCTCAACATTAAAAAATCATCAAAAACCACCACTATAATCAAATTTTAAGGTGCAAAAATTCCAACATTCACATACAATGTTTTTAAAGTGAAAAAAAATCTCAACATTGTTGTTACAAAAACCATTGTAGGTGAATGTCACCACAAAAAAATCCAACATTGTTTATTACAAAAAGAAAAACATCACAATTAGTTTCATATTGAACCGGTAAAAAATCATTACCTGTAAAAAATATATATATTGTTTTTTAAATTACCTTGACATAGACGGACATCTATTAAGTGGATGACTCTCCAACCATTCTCGAGCACGTGGATTTAACGGGACATAATCGAAAACGATGTCCGTCTATACCAAGGTAATTTAAAAAAATAATATTTTTATGGTATTTGTTATAGTTATTCTCTTGTTATTATTATTTTTTTTACAAGTAATAATTTTTTACCGGTTCAAGATGAAGCTAATTGTGATGTTTTTCTTTTTGTAATAAACAATGTTGGGGTTTTTTTTTTTGATGTTTTTTTTTGTAAGGAACAATGTTGAGATTTTTTTCACTTTAAAAAATTGTATGTGAATGTTGGAATTTTTGCACCTTAAAATTTGATTATAGTGGTGGTTTTTTATGATTTTT